ACACTATTCTTTTGTCTTCTGGAACACACATTTCTAATTCCCCCACAGAAGTTTACCCTAAAGTAATATAATTAAATGCTTGGATTGTTTTTCATTGATTGTACCATTTTATTTCTACACAACACAATTATTTTTTAATTTCCTGTGTGTGTAAGTCTCTAAGTGTTAAGAAATTTCTTGTGGTTGACAATTATTAGCTTTATGTATTTGATTAAAACCATATAAATATAATACAAATTTGATAAATTGACAAAAAAATAAAAATATATTGGGAGCACACTTCTTTACAAGATGAATGGGACTTTTAAAAATTTAGTTCATTAATTCAATCAATTTTATGTCTTTTTTTTATTTTTATAGAACATTGGGAAAACTCTTTCAGTACATACATAGATGAGGCTTGAAGTTTTCCTTTAAAAGCATCACATATTTCTTTGCATGTCTAAAAAGACATAAGAAATAAAATGCAAAGGGATCTATTCTCAAAAATTACTTTTAAGAATATATCAACTTTAACTTGATTGATCCTTTTAAAATTCTATCAAAAGCAGAAGAAAGAAAACTACCACTTGCAGAAATTTATTATCCAGTCATTGGAGCCGTTCACTGCCTTAGTTTCTGGGAAATATATCAAAAACATTTTGCCAAGATTTGGCACATGAGTGCTATTCTTTCCCTTAGAGGCACCTTGTTTAACCTTGTTCTCAAAAAGGGTTGTGAAAATAGAAGTAATGTTAATTTCAAAGCACCCTTGTCAATGTAATATTTCTTAATAAAATGCTATTTTTATAGTGTGATTTAAATATATTTTTGTCAAAACTGTTGAAATAAATTTTACTCATTTAATTTAATAATACATTTAATTTATGAGTACATGATATAATCTAGTTAGTACAGTCAGTCCTCTTGGTCAAACCAACCATGTAAATCAGATTTGCTTTGTGAGAAAAGTCTGGCTTTTTTTTCCCCTCTAATTTTATTTACACTATGTATACAGTATGTGTTTATATGTTTCAAGAAAGATTATAAAGCATTATGAAATAAATTATAGATAGTATCTTGCAACATTACTAAAAATCAATTGAGATTAAAATAACATAGATCTAATATAATTAGCTTTTTTCCATTTTATGTTATAAAACAACATGAAAAGAATATGCTATTTTATTACTTATTTTGAAATGACCTAGGATGTGTAGCTAAAGTTACAAGTAAGTTATTGATTAAGCAAGAGTCATAATAAAAGACATTGTATGCCTTTTGTTAAGTATATGTGGCATTTATCAAAAACAAGTGTTTGGCTTTTCAGAATAAGAATCATGTATAAAAATCAGAAATAGCCCTGTTAACTCTTTTTTAAAACTTTTTAAGTTGAAGTATTGTTGATTTACAATGTGTATTAGTTTCAGGTATACAGCAAAGTGATTGGTTTCATATATATATAGACACACACACACTCACATACACGTACATACAATATATATATATTCTTTTTCAGATTCTTTTCCATTTTAGGTTATTATAAGATACTGAATATATTTCCATGTGCTATACAGTAGGCCCTTGTTGTTTATTTTATATCTAGTACTATGTATATGTTAGTCCCAAACTCCTTATTTATTACCCCCCTTTCCCTTTAGTAACCATAGTTTATTTTCTATGTCTGTGAGTCTGTTTCTGGTTTGTAAATAAGTTCATTTGTATCATTTTTTTTCTAGATTCCACATGTGAGTGATATCATATGATATTCCTCTCTCTGTCTGACTGACTTCACTTAGTCTGATAGTCTCTAGATCCATCCATGTTGCTGCAAATGACATTATTTCATTCTCTTTATGGCTAACTAATATTCCATTGTATATATATATATATATATATACCACATCTTCTTTATCCACTCATTTGTCAATAGACATTTAAGTTGCTTCCATGTCTTGGCTATTGTAAATAGTGCTGCTATGAACATTAGGGTGCATGTGTCTTTTTGAATTCTAGTTTTCTCCAGATATATGCCCAGGAGTGGGATTGCTGGATCACAATGGTAACTCTATTTTTAGTTTTTTAAGGAACATCCATACTGTTCTTTATAGTGGCTGCACCAATTTACATTCCCACCAACAGTGTAGGAAGGTTCTCTTTTCTCCACACCCTCTCCTCCCTGTTAACTCTTTAGATATTATGTTCAAACTTTCCTTGTGTGTTTAATAAAAAAGGAAGATACAAACTGCTTATGAATTGGCCTGCCAGATGGCATACACTTTTATTTTTTTGTTGTTTTTATTAGGATTTAGAAAATATTAAGTATTTAACTTGATGAAATAAGATGAAGATTGATGACAGCTTAAATAAATATTTCATTATATGCTTTATGAAATACATTTTAACTTAGTGATTCACATTGAGTTTTAAACAAATGAAGTGAGTTTTTCATCAAAAGTCATATATGGTCATATATAGTTACAAGTTTGTTCCGCTTCTTTAGTTTGAACATGCTTTTCTTTCCATCTATTGACTTGTCTTAAGGGTAAGTATTAGGAGTAGCCTAAAAGAATTGTTTATATTATAAAAGCTGCTTATAGCCTTGAATATTTTTCACTAATGCTTTCTTTGCTTTCCCCTCATGGGACTCCTCCTAAAAAAAATGATGCATCCTCTGACAATAGTTGAGGAATAGAAGAGGCAAAGACATTAAATTAAAATTGTCATTATTCCCCTAGACTCACACTATGTTAGATATATTCCAACAGGAACAAAATATTCCATTTCTAACCATTAACTTTGCCCTTAACAGAAATACGTATACAAAGCCTTAGAACATGTGTTTGGTGACTTGATTAGTAATTAACATGCTTCTCAGAGACCAACTATTTCCCATAATCCTTTTGTTTGGCTGTCTGGAGGGTTTTGCACAGTGAGGTAAATGATGACAGTTATGCCTTCCTTTTGTAAAGTGGGAGAAGGACTATTGTGAAAGGGAAGGTGGAAAAGGAAAGTCAGCATATATCTTTACTGTAAGCAAGTCAATTTTTAGGACATAATTCATATGAAAATGGAAAAACCTTGAGTTAGTTTTTATAAATTATATGCCTACATCCTCCTTGGTTTTCAATTCATGCCTTTCCCTGTTGGAAGAATGCTTAATTGTTACACAGTGAAGATTCTAATTCACAGAACATACCACATTTTTTTTTCTGAACCCTTGCCCATCCCTCTGGTCCCCACTTTCCTGTACAGTTACTTATTATGCTCCTAAGGCATTTTTCAAAGAATTAAAAAGCTATGGGTGGTGGTTCTGGAAACATGGAACATCTGTCATTACCAATATTTAGAAATACTGGATAAAATATGAGAAAAAGTCTTTAAAGATACAGCTGAGCTTGGGAGGGAAAAAGAAATCTGCAGATAACAGAAAGGAAGCAGGTTCCGAAATCTGCGAGAAAGGACTCCAGTTACTATTGCAACTGCCTGGGTTAACAGGGGAGGTGGGGGGAGTTACCATAAGCTAGGGACTTGGATTTTAAGACATATGCAAGAATAAAAGACATGGTCCTGGACCTAATCCAGACAGGAACTTGGAACAAATCTCCTTGAGAAGCTGAAACTACCAAAGGGTGGCACCCTCAGTGGAAGGATGGTATAAAAAAAAAAAAAATCTGCTCACCAGCACAGGGAGGTGACAAGAAAAATACATATTTCTTTGCCCATGCACCGAGTTAGGAAAAATATTTTCACTGAAACACTGAAAACCCAGGCCTGCTCCTGACATTGGTGTTGGCTTTGGCTTAACACTACCTTTGTAGTCCAGGAATTCGTAAATTAAGAAGTTAACATAAAAATTGACCCCGGGCCAATGGAAAACCCTGAGACACTTAGAGGAACAAATGTAAAACCACCCTGGAGGGATCCTCCTTCCCCCAAGGGCACATGAGGTTCTCAGGGAATAAAACCAACCCAGGCAAAAATAAGAGTTTTATAATAAAAGAGCATAAAATGTGAAAAAGAAGTCAACCAGGAGCTCAGCCAGAAGACAACAAAACAAGAGGATTAGAGCTGTAAAATCCTGAAATATTAGACTGATAATCTAGAAGAAAATATAAAATGAGTTTGCCTAAAATAATTAGCCATGATGAAGAAATCAAAACCCTAAGGTTAAGAGAAAGACCTTGTGAGGAAGCAGGTAAATATGGAAACCACCGCAGAGAAATATCAGAAACGGAAGACACTGAAATTTAAAACAAATAATTTAACAGCAGATTAGACACAATTGAAGAGAACTAATTAGTTAGCAGCTAAATCTGAAGATATTATATAGCAGGCAGCAAAAAAAATGCGGAAAATATAAATGAGGAGTTTAAATACAGAGAAAAGGGACATACTTATAACAGAAGAGAGTGTGGGAGAAGCAAGATTTAAAATGATAATGGCTGAGATTCCCAGGACTGATAAAATATGTAATTCCTCAGATTCCAAAATCACAGTGCATCCGGAAAAGTTTAAATAGAAGTAAATCCACATATATATAGCTACATTTAGTAACAAAGACATAAAGAAGGATTTAAGAACTCAAAGAGAAGAAATACAGATTAACCACAAAGAAACAACAATTAGAAGACTACTCACAGCAATAATATTGGCCAGAAAACAATGGAATAACATCTTCAAAGTGGTAAAGGAAATATAAAAATTAATCAAGAATTCTGTACCCAGCTAAAGCATCCTTCAAGCATAAAGATGAAACAAAGGAAGCTTCAGACCAAAAAAAAAAAAAAAAAAGTCTGAAAAAATTTATGCTAATAGACCATCCTTCAAAGAGCTACTAAAAGTTGTATTTCAGGAGAAGAAAACTAAACTCAGAGAAAGAAATAAGATTCAAGAAGCTAATAAAAGAAAAGGAGGATTAGGCAAAGCCTTTGTAGACCAGTGCCAAAGGGGGGAAAAATTGGACTACATTGAAATTGAAAATGTATTCTAAAGACACTCCTTTTCTCCTCCCCATGGAGCATATTATTTAGTCTTTGTCGCTGCATCAGTTCTTTACTGACACAGTAATGTTGACGACAAACCACCTGAAGACTCATTCTTCTCATTCACAAGTCTGTGGTAGCTGAGCCATTGTCTGATCTTGTCTGGACTGGACTCGCTCAGGTGTCTGCAATCAGCTGCTGATCCCGGCTGGGATCTCCCACAGGGTGAGAGTTGGCTAGCTTTTGTCTGGATAGGATAATCTCTGCTTTTCTCCACGTGTCTCTTACATCCCTCCTAGCTGAGACAAGTTCTCAGGCTGAGGAAGAGATGCAGAAGTGGGCAAGCTCAGTTCACAAGACAGCAAGCAGAAATGCACAGGTGCTTTTCAAGCCCCTGCTTGTTGGTGTCTGTTAACATTCCATTGGCCTAGGTGAGTTATCTGGCCGAACCCATAGTCAGAGGCCCAGGGGAGTACAAAGTTACAAGGCAAAGGGAGACAGGAGTCCTTAATTGGTGTCATTAATAGAATACATGTTTGTGTTTATTAGTTTATGTTTATCTGTTTAATAAACTCTATATAGTTCATTTCATATTGTGAATTCAGTCATTCCCCTTCTCAAAATAAAATTTCTACTCTTGTTACTTGTTATTAATAAAATACAAGAAAAAAATCAGAATAGGCAAGCAAAATGAGCATAAAGGATGCTACTAATCCCCACTTATAGAGACAATCACTCTTGCATATTCTCACTCTCTCTCTCTGTATATATGTCTATACATCTGATTATATGCAGATTAATTTTATAGATTAGCTATATAGATAGTTATGTAAATTAGTTATATAGAAAAGTACTTAAAATTATAATACAAAAATGCATTTAGAGCAGTTATTCAGTCTCAAGGAAATGTCATGTTTCACAGTGTTATGCGAAACTCACTGGCATATGGAAAATCATTGTCTTCAGGCACAGGCTTCTTATACTCTGTATGACTTTCATCTTTTGAATGAGATGCTCATGCTTCTGCAGCAGGTATAGCTTCTGGTTTTCATGTGGTCAGTGACATTGCCACATGCCCCATGGGATGGTAAATGTTGACATTTTGTGAAAGTAATAAATTCATAATCAGTTTTCTTGAGAAATTAAAATTAAGTATTTAAGTTTTATTAAACATATGCTTTCTTTTTTTTTCCCCTTTGTGCTCATTTTTGTCAAAGGTCTTATTACACAATATAAAAGTGTTACCAAACAATAGCATAAATAAATAATTGAAATTATCACCATACAATGAATGACAAAACCACTGTGACAAGCGTGTCCAGTCTATTTTCAACATACTCTATTGCAGCACTGTTCTGCCTCTATGTCCTGCATGTAGTTCACATAATTTAACCTAGAATTTCCCAGATTTCCCACTGACTGGTGGCCTAGCAGTCCTGGCACTGCTGTGTGGTATGCCGGATAGTCATCAGGGGTACCACATCTAATACTTTTCCCATCACCCCTCAAGGTCACAAAGAGTTCACTGTCTTTGCCTTATTTTATTAGTAAGTGCCCAGCATGTTGTTCTTGAAAGGGAGTTAATAGCTACCTTGCCTCTGAAAAGGGCTGGAAAATAGAGACACAGATTATTGCTGGTTATATTTCAACTTTAATCATGAGTTACAGTGAAAATTCTGTGTGCTGCA